TCTTGGATCGTGAGCCTTTGAAGTAAATGGGCCTAAGGCCCATAATTAATAAGATTAAGTAAGTTGTCATGTGCTCTRGGTCAAATATAGGTTTGGAAATGGGTATAGAACACCTAACCTCTTAAGAGGATAAGGCTTATCTCTTAATAGAGTCCATATTCAAATTAGATTTAGATAATCACCTGATTTGATCAGGAGAGTGATCCATAAGGAGATAAAAGAAGAAGAGGGCAAACTAGACTAGAACACTACTCTCTCTTCTTCTCTTTTGTCTTCCAAGAAAGCCTATCACAACTTAGGCTTTCAAGATTGATTTAGATTACTCACCTCACTCAATTCAAGCAAGTTGGGTCACAATTTTGTTAAAAACAATGTTACCGAATCAGCTTCACCTACACACTTTGCCATCTTCAGTGGAGGCTGGTTTTTAGGGCTAATTTGGGTGTGAACTTCTAGCTTGGGATCTATGTTTGTGGTATCCTTATCAGGTATAATTCTCCCTTCTTGATTATCTAGTCCAGTTCAGTGCAAGATCAATCCGAAAAAATTCAGTATTTAAACTCACCAAAAAATCGGTTCTCGCAATAGTTAGAAAAATTTTTGAAATTTCACCCAACCATTTACCATGGTTCTACCATCCATGTGATGAACTATAAAGCTTTCCAATAGATGCCTATAGGAAACATCTACTGTACTTGATCATTTACTAAACTTGTATGAGCTTAAATAATTACCCTGTTATAGTGAACCTTTTGTTTAAGCAAAAGAAAGGAATGGAATTATGARAAGAAAAGTTTGTTAGTGATTAAGATCCTAACAAAGCACTTAGTTGAACTAATAGAATTAAGTCATTTTTCAAATATTGACCAATAGAAAGAGCCATATAAAAATATCAGGATTTTTGCAAATCACAATTTCGGTTGAGAAATGAAATAGAAAGAATATTTTTCTAAGAAGAGAAAATATATGTAAGAATTATTATAAAATTCCTTGAATTTATTATTATTGTTGTTGTTTTAGAGTGAGAGGTGAAGAGCTACATACAGATGCTACTTAAAGCAAATTAATGGTGAATGAATCATTTGAAAACCACACATAGACTCTACCATGAAATTAAAGGCAAAATAATATATATTTTTTAATCATAGGTAACTAATTTTAGTGACAAATGCCTTGAATGTGGTACTTTATTTTCCCATAAAAGAGTTGTTAAAAATTAGCTCACCTTGAACAATTTGAATAGTGGGAGATCAAATATTTAATATACATTGTCAATCTCCACTTAATGAGAAAGCTATACAATGGTTGAACTCCTGAAAAGAAATTCTATGGGAAAATAATTGATGTTTTATGCCATTACTTCGGAAAATAATTGATAAGATATGCCATTTCTTCTTTGTTGAAATTATAAMTTCTAGAATTTTGTACATAAGATGCATTGTTATCATACCCATTTCTATGGATATTAAACTAACCAATACAGTTCTTTTCTTGTTGACAATAAAAGGAATGGAAAATAAATTTATGTCTAGCAATTGAAAGCCTTTCTTTATACATATGTACCAGGTTTATTTGTTATGTGGTTAGTAAGCTCTTGAAAGGCTACAGTGTTATTAACCTATATTATGATGGTTTAGGTAATTTTAATTTGCAAAGAATGTGTTCCTTGAGCTGTTGAGTTATAAACTATATGAATCCAACTTATTATTTGCAATAATTGATGTCTTGTGGATTTCATTGTTGAATTCATAAGGATACACAAGAGAAAACCAGTTGAAATGGTGAAGGAGCATCAAAGCCAAAGGCAAGCATCTAATGCAAATGTCTGTTAGGAAACTACCAAAGAAAATGGTAGTAAGAACAACATTATAGAGTCTCTACCAAGGGAAAACAACCTAGTAGAGATCAACAAAGAGCTTGAATGAAACTTGCAAAGGGAAAAGAACCTTGTAAGGTGAATTCATTTTTTCACATAAGAGCTACCAAAGGTAAAGAACCTGGTAGTAATCTTATTGGGTGAATTTACTTTTCACATGAAGACTATCATGGGTAAAGAACTTGGTAGTGGGATCGAAAGGTCATAATGGCATGGTTGCTTACAACCAAATCAAACAATTAGCCCGTTAAAGAAGAAAGTTATGAGTGGGAGATGTTGGTAAGTGGCAAGAGGCCCTCCATTGGAAACCTCAGTGTATAGATAAATCCTATGGCTGAAGGAGCAACTTACACCGATGGGCAAAAGTATTAATTTGTTTGAACTTTGAAACACTAATAGAGCTCTTAAACAATCTTTATCCATATCAGTAGAGGACTTACTTGGCATGGTAGTTGAGAAATTCTGGGATCGAAATCATGCCTAATTGGACACTTGTCCAGTGATCCAACAGGCTGAACAGGTCCAAGTGAAGCTTACTAACTGCTCTCGATAATGTGAGGGAACTCTCTAACTTAAAAGCCTGAACGGGAATATATGAGTCCCTCCTGAGCAAAGATATTATCACTTGGGCTATTGCCAAATTGGGTCATCTATAGAGTTCTTAGTCTTGTACTAGGAACAAGCCAACTGCTTTGGCCACCAGATCAGAATACATGTACTGTTTGTAGGGTTCATCAGTGCTTACAAGTACTGTTTGCAAGGACCATCAACCAAGACATCTTTCAATCTCGGAGAGCTGTTTAGGCATGTGGCCTATTGTCAACCTGCTCCACTTATAGAGAAGCTCACAAAGAGTATGGGAAGCCTTGACCTGTAACGAAACTTCCATGATGGCACAAGTGGAATTGCACACATGTGCATCATTTTGCTTATTGAAGCATATTAACAATCGGCTTCCACTGTGACAATGCATATTAACAATCAACTCCCATAATTGATAAGTTATATGTAATTATAAGGATTTAAACTTTGATAAGCCACAACTCCAAGAGCCTATACTACTTTGATCTATATTACATGAGCACATTAAGATAAATTTGGTTTTAACTTTTTAAGTCACCTCTTCCATTAAGGGGTAAAAGACATGGTATCAAAAGAGTTATGATCAATCAAAACATCCCTGTGAATTTTGATTAATACCATCTGATTGGTCACTTTTTTTTATGTCTATGAGTTTTCCAATGTCATGTATTTCTGGTGTCATAGTTCTAATTCGCCGTATGTATCTTAAAATTGTGTTTTTAATATTATCTCTATACCGTAATCAAAAGTTCAAAGTATTTATGCACGATATACACATTGCACATTGCATATCCAAAAGGAACTATATACTTGCATCAAAACTTCTACAAGTACAAGAAATGAGCTACGACATCTCTAGAAAGGGTATTATCCCTCAAAAGTGGCCACATGCCAACTCTCAGTAATTAATTAGTGTATCAGTGGATTCGAAAACCAACACGTATGCATCAATACATATCAATACATTGAACCTTAGCCATAATATATATATATATATATATATATATATATATATATATACGAGACTAGAATTATGCATTTCAGTCATTGCAATCCAACCAAATTATAAGACTATAAT